TCTCTCTCTGCTCTCTTTAGCCTTCCCAGTAGACCTTTCCCTCTTTGGCACATTTGGAAACTGCAGTTGATAGATGGCTGGGACTAGTGAGCCTTTTTTGTTTTCAGAGAACACTGAGGTAAATATCTCCCTTCTTTCTCTTGGCTTGGTTTCCTGCGCTAGCAGAGGGCTCCCGGTGGGAGGGTATCTCCCTGGGTGGGGCCAGGGGCGTACGGTCACCCTCTGGAACATAGGAGGGCTGGGAAATCCGCTCCTCCTTCCAGCACCGGCTGTGTGGTCCCGAGCAGGTTCTCCTGCCCATTGTAGTGGCCTGGGCCCTCTGGGCCAGAGGTCCGTGGCCCAGGTTCCTTGTCTTTCTCAGTGGCCTCTGTCCTACAAGTGCCTTTTCCCTTTGACCGCATTCCCAACCAGTCACTCCACCTCTGCTCCAACGCTTCCTGAGGCGTCCCCGGCCCTCTGCCTTTCCAGCTGCTTCCTGTCCTAGAGACTCGGCCTTGGTTTGGTAGGACGCCGCCCGCACCGGCGTGGGTATCCACTCTCCTTCCCTCTCTCCCCAGGGTCCAGCCACAGCAGGCCCTGTGTCCCAGTGGAGGAAAACCCTGGGCGGAATCCAGGAGTCTAACTGCTTGCCAGGCGCCAAGCTGGGGAATGGACACGCCCGTGGGGAGCTGGAGGGAGCCGCGGCAGCTTCGCAAGCCAGCCTGTCCCCACCGCTCAGGCCACGTTTTAGATGGCCTTTATAGACGCGGATCCCAGGCCTCAGTGCCAGAGCCTTCGGCAGGCCCCGCTGTCCTTCAGGAGGTGGGGTCAGCTGGCGCGGACCCCCAGGCCTGCCTCTGGAAGAAGCAAAGGAACAGAATCATCTCTGGTCCCCAGGGCCCAGCTTCCCCTTCCCCTCTGACGCTGTGACAGTGCAGTGTCTGTACCTCTTCAAGCCAGGCACTGCGGCCAGTTACCGCCTGCGTGTGGCCGCGGCCTGTGTCCGCTCTGCTTTCCATTGGCTGACCTCTGCTGCTGGCAGCACTTTCTGAGCAAATGGAGTTTTAGTTGGGGTTCATATCCGTGGCCTGGTCCACGATGTCCTTTGTCCTTGGTGGCTCCCCTCACCATGCCACGTGTCGGTTCACGTGCCCTGGCCTTCTCCACGTGCCAGACCAAGAAGTGGGGCTCCCTGCAGGTCTGTTCCTCGCCCTGCTACTTCCTGTGGAGATGGCCTCTCCAAACCCTCCTGGAGTCCTGAGCAGCAGGTGGGGCCATCCCTCTACCCTGTGCTTGTTGCCACCAACAGTATTGTCAGTTTCTGTGTGGAGAAGGGGTCAGGCGTGGGAAGAGGGGGTCGTCCTGCTGTGGCTAAGCCCCATCTCCACCCACCCCACCTGGCTCATGCCTTTGGCGGAGGTGCCCACGGAGGTGCCTGCGGCTGTAAGGTGCGGAGAGCAGCAAGGGACAGGAAGGCTGCTTGTGACTAGCTGCACCGGCATCGCCCTTCTTTCTTAAAAAAACAATGACAGTTTCTCTCACATCCTTAGGACATTTCAAGTTCTTGCCCCCCCCCCCCCCCGTTTTCCCCTAGTGTTGCAGTTTCAGGGAGGTGGGAACTAGACAGCTTTTATTCTTCTTCCAGTTTACCTGAATTTTCCTCCCAGGGTTGAGCTGTGTGGAATGGGGCGTCACAGAGATGCGGGGTCACAGACTGGGGAGGGAAGGAGGGAAGTTTCCGGAGCCCCTCTCAAGGAGATTTGGGTCCTTGTAAATGGGACTGAAGGACAAAAGAACAGGGGTGTGCTCACCTAGAAATTGTTCTTGAGGACCAAACCCAGGCGGGAAACAAACTCTTAAGTCTCTCCACAGCAGGCTTCTGAGCCCCCGGCTGCATGTCAGAATCACCTGACAGACTAAAATCTGAGCTGGGCCCAGTGGTGCACACCTGTATCCCAGCAGCTCAGGAGGCTGAGGCAGGAGGATTGAGTTCAATGCAGCCTCAGCAACTTAGTGAGACTCTGTCTCAAAATAAAAAGGGCTAGGGACGTACCTCAGTGGTTAAGCGCCCCTGGGTTCCATCCGTAGTGTTGAAAAAAACAATTTTTTTTTTTCCTACCTGAGCCACTCCTGAGACTTCCAGTTTAGTCATTCTGGGCTCGAGGGTTTATTTTTGAAATAGTTTCATATCCACAGGCAAGTTCCATACGCCCTTCACCCACCCGGCCTCCCCTGTTAACATCGTATGAACCCTGGGTACATTTACGCACTGAACATGGACATGGGTACAGTCAGAACTCGGAACTGAACCACAGGTTTTCCTGGGGTGGTTTTTTTTTTTTTTTTTTAAAAGCAATAACGTTCTTGCTCCATTACAGGACCCAATCTAGGATACCAGGTTCCACACAGAGCTTTCTTTTCCCAATTTTTATTCTTACATAATTACTCATAGGAAGTTGCAAAAATGCGAGGTTCCCATGCACCCCTTACCTGGGTTTCCCCTACGGTTGTTAGCTAATTACAATACAGTATCCAAATCAGGGCTTTGACACAGGTGTGGTGTGTCCTGGGCAGATTTGTGTAACTGCGCCCGTGTCACCACAGAGATCTCCCTGGGCTACCCCTGGAGAGCCCCCCGTGCCATCCCCAGTCCCTGGCAGCCACTAACGTGTTCCTCTTTGCTCTTGTGTTGCCATTTCAAGACTGTTATATCAATGGAGTCACAGTGACCATGTGGCACTCGGCACAATCCTCTGGAGACGCGTCCAGGTTGTCGCCTGCCGGTGGTTGGGTCCTTTCTCTTGCCAAGGGGTGTTCCATAGTGTACTTACCATCCGGTCGAACGATATCTGGGTGGTTCCAGTTTTCAGCTATTCCAAATAAAGCTGCTGTGGACATCATGTACATGTGCACATGGGTCTGTGCGAAGATCAGCGTCCTGTTCTCGGATAAATGCCAGAGGTGCCATTGCTAGGTCATGGTTATTGCGTGTTCTTTTTTTGTGGGGGAAGGTACCAGGGATTGAATTCAGGGCACTCAACCACTGAGCCACATTTTGTATTTTTTATTTAGAGACAGGATCTCACTGAGTTGCTTAGCGCCTCACTTTTGCTGAGACTGGCTTTGGACTTGTGATCCTCCTGTCTCAGCCTCCCAAGTCTCTGGGATGACAGGCAAGCGCCACTGCGCCCTGCTGTGTTTAGTTAGCAACCAACTTCAGGCACTTCAGAACAGAAACCCTCTCCGCCACTGGGTGGTGCTGCTGTTCCCTCTGACTCTTCTGGGTGTGAGCAGAACTGGTGGCTTTCATCCCTTTTTCCGGATGGCTAGTAGTGGACATTTTTTCATGTATTTTCGGTCACATCTCTGTCCTTGGCCCACTTTCTAATTGGGCTGTTTTTTGTTCTGAGAGTTCCTCATATATTCTAAGTGCTAAAGTCTTTTGTGGGGTTTTTGGTTTGCAAGTACTTTATCCCAGTCTCTACTGCTATTGTTTGGATCTGGAATGTCAGGGCCACATGTTAGGGGCTCAGTCCTCAGCTTGCAGTGGCTCCTGGGAGGTGTGGACCCTGCAGGAGTAGGAACTGGTGGGAAGAAGGTAGGTCACTGGGGAGTGCGTCCTTGATGGGGACACTGGGACGAAGGCTTTTCCTGTCCCTTTCATGTGCACATCACTCTGCTGAGTACTCTGTCATGATGCACAGGCCCATAGAGAGAAAACTAGGCGGCAGGGCCAGGTGACCATGGGCTGAGCCCTCTGAAACCCTGAGCTCAAGTCCGCCTTTCTTCCTGAAGTGGATTATTTCAGGTTGTTATGGAAACAAAAAGCTGACACACGTAGCTTAGATTTTCATCCTCTCAGCAGAGACTTATTCAGAACAAATGGTTTTAATTTTGAGGAAGTCACTTTTTTCTTTTTATGCATTGTGCTTTTAGTGTCAAAAATTCTTCACCTAGTCTGAGGCCCCAGAAATCGTCTGTTTTTTTTTTTTTTTCCATAAATGTGATCCATTTTGAATTAATTTTCATATAGACTGAGGTCAAGGCTCTTTTTTTTTTTTTAAGCCTATAGATGTCCAATTGTTCTGGTACCCTTTGTTGAAAAAGCATCTACCTAGCCCCTATGTACCTGTCCCTCTGCCAATACCATGTGTGTCCCTTGTTTTTTAAAATATTTTTTAGTTCTCAGTGTATCTTTAATTAGCTGATTGATATGTGGTGCTGAAAATTGAGCCCAGTGCCTCACACATGCTAGGCGAGTGCTCTGCCATTGAGCCCCAGCCCCTATGTAGTGAGTCTTAAAATCAGTAGATTAGTTGTTCCTCCCACTTTGTTCTTTTTCAAATTGTTCTGGTTATACATTTTTCTTAAGAATTTGAGAATAACCTTGTTTACATCTAAAAATATTGCCAAGATAAACCTGTACGTCAACTTAGGGAGAACTGACGTCTTGACTGTGTTGTATCTTTTGGTCCATGAACATGGTATATTTTTCCATTTATTTAACTTCTGTTTTGGAGATTTCAGCATCTTTCCCTGCATGTTTTGTTAGTTTTAAACCCAAGTATTTAATTTTTCTAAACAGTGGTACTATTTTTAATTTGTATTCATATGTTCATTGCTGTTATGCAGAAATAGGGGTTTGTGATTTTCTGATGTATCCTCAGATTTTGATGTACTCCCTCATCTTCTAGGTGGGTATATCTGGTTAGGTAGACTCCTGGGGATTTCCAGTGTGTGCACACAGGTGAGTCGTCTACTGATATGCAGGGTTTCTGACCTAATGATCTTTTAAAGCCTCCCCTGGTGATTTCTAATAAGCAGCTGAGGCTGAGAACCACTGCTCTTTGATCCGGTCCATCAATGAGCTGAGATGCTCTGACAGCAAGACCCCACACAAAGTCCATTCTGCACCTGGTGGCCTGTCTCAGTGTCAGGCCTGCATTGTTAAAAGGCTTGAGTTTGCTGCTAAGGTTGACAAACCTTAGCAGCAAACTGGTGCCCAAAAAAGACAAGTAGGCTACGGTAGGTCATCAACCAATTTAATGAACAAAAAAATACTGATCTGTATAAAAAGTCATTTTTGTCTGTCACTTAGTCTCCTCATTTTCTAGATGAGGAGTTGTCATTGCCATGGTCTACAGCGCCTGATCTGCCCACAGCACCAGCATCTGGGCGTGCGCTGGCTGTCACCACGGGGCAGGAGCTGCCCGTGGAATGGTGTGGCCCCGGGGGGCTCTAGTCAGCCTTTCACAAGTATCGTAGTCGTGTTCTTGGCCTGAGAAGGCCACCAAAGTTAAAGTCAAAATAACTGCTGCAGAATGAATGTCTGCCCTGTGAGGTCAACCCAGGACCATGAGGAGGCCAGGCATTGTCCCAGCCCTTCCCTCAGCCTGTGGTTCCCAGTTGAGGGTAGGGCTCTTTAGGACCCGCTTTCTGGCATTAAGGAGCCAGCCCTGCCAGCGCTCAGGCCCACCCTGGGGAACTTGGAAACATGCACTGCCAGAGGGAAGAGCCCTGGGAGCTTGGGGGAAGGGGCCCTCGTGGCCACCAGCTGGCAGGTGGGGATGCAGCGGCTGGCATGTCCCCATGGAAGAGCGCAGGGCTCCTCAGCATGCACCGCTGTGGGGATGAGCAGGGTGGATGCGGCTGCAGGCCTGGTCTGGCCTCTCTAGGACTGGGGGCAAGAGAGCCTCTGGCATGAGGGTTGCGGGCCACCGCCCCAAGAGCTGGGTGGGCCACAAGCAAGCCCCAGCGCCCAGGCTCTCAGGCCCATGCGGAGGGCCACCGGTCAGCCGCCAACGCTGCTCAGGCAGGCCCCAGGGGGCCCTGAGGCGGAGGGCACGGGTCCCCCAGGACTGTGGCTCCAGCACCTCAGCTTTCGGCTTCTGAGCAACCGGGCGGGTGCAGGCGTCTGCTCTGTGGGGCGTCGCCCTGCTTAGGGGCCCTGCAAACCACCAGAACCCGCCTCCAGAGTCCTGAAGACCTGAGGTGCCTAGAGCCACTGCAGACCCTACCAGGGTTGCTGCTGATAGGAACCAGGCCCTGGGAGACCCCGCCAAGGGCAGCTGGCAGCTGCACCAATGCCGGACGCCTGCCCGGCTGGCTCGGTGGCCTCTCCTGTGTCCTGGGTGCAGCTGCTGGCCACATCTGAATCACCACCTGCAGGAGACTGGCCCTGGTGGAAGGCGAAGGCCAGGCTCCTGCTCTGGGGACAGTGGACGGACACTAAGGAGGCCTGACGCCCAGTCCTGGTAGCTGGGCCAGGGCCCGTCGGCTTCCGCCCCACCCTGGGCTCCACTGCCCTCCTGCCCTCGCCTGGACTGCAGCTCGCAGCTGTCTGTGGTCCTCTGCCTCAGTCCTTCCCAGGCCCAGCCCTAGTGGGGGATGTGGCAACCCAGCCACAAGCCAGGGTCTCTCCGCCTATAGGGCTCTGACTGCCCCTCAGCTCTGACAGGAAGCAGAGCCCTGAGGGGGGTCGCCACTGAAGGCGAGGCCCACAGAGCACAGATGCAGGGAGAGGGGAACGGAATGGTGGCTGTGAGGGAGCCGCAGGTCCGGGGCCTCAGCACCGGGTGCGGGGATGCCCCACATGGGCCTGCAGCGCTTCCCGGATGCCCTTTTGCCAGTCTCGTGCCAGTTGCACTGGTGTCAGGGAGGCCTAGGGGCAAGGACACCAGGTCAGTCCTCCCTTTCCCCCAGCCCCGGGCGCAGGCCGCCACCCCATGGGGACTCACCGCGTTCTGCACGGCCAGCTTGGCCCCATAGAGCAACAGCAGTTTCATGGCCTTGTAGTGGCCGTGCCGCACAGCCTCGTGGAGCGCTGTGTCCCCTTCCTGTGGGGAGACGGAGGTCCCACTCGTGCCCTCACCCGAGGGCCCTCAGCAGGGTGGCAGGGGCTGTGACCCAGGGGACAGTGCCCCTGGTCTGCTGCAGGCTGCCCAGCCGCTGTGCCTACCTTGTCCTGGGCGTCAACGAGGGCTCCACACTCGATGAGGTGCTCCAGGCAGTTGGAGTGGCCCGTGCGCACGGCCACGTGGAGGGGGGTGCTCCAGATCTAGGAGGAGAGGGGCTCAGTGCCACGTCTAGCCTGGTGGCCTCCTAGCTTCTCTAACAGACCACCCAGAGCAGGCCCTTGCTCCCTCACCTTGTCCCGTGCATTGACCCGGGCGCCCTGGTTAAGCAGCAGTTTGAGGATGTCCAGGTGTCCTCCTCGGCAGGCCCAGAACACAGGAGTCCTGTCCAGCTGTAACACAGAGCCCCGAAGCCCTCAGACCTGCGGGGACGCTGCGCAGAGCATTGGCAGTGAGGAGCAGCCTCCCGGGACTCACCAAGTCCCGAGCATCCACGGTGGCACCGGCCGCCAGCAGCTTGCTCACCAGCTGGAGGTGACCCTTCAGAGAGGCCCAGTGCAAGGCTGTGCGGTGCAGCTGGGGCAGAGATGGGGTTAGGAGGGTGCAGCCACCCAGAGCACCCACCTGTTGCTCAGAGGAGGTCCCCAAACACTCGCCCATCCTGCCATCAGCAAGGGCTTCTCCCTCCCAGCTCAGGACGCCACTGGTTCACGCCCCGAAGACAAGCCCAGGCCAGGGCTGGGACCACAGTGTGACACTCCTGCTTGGACAGGTGCCACAAGCCCTCGCCCACTGCACACCTTGTCGTGGGCATTGGGATCCCCTCCATCGGTCAGGAACTTGTCAATCAGGGCTTCCTGGTTCTCAGCAGCTGCCTTCAGGAACATCTCCAGGTCCACAGGCTCCAGCTGGGCCTGGGGCTGCGACTGGGTGAGGGGAAGGACAAGACCAAGTCACTCCCCAGACCCGTAGGCACCCGTGACCACAGTGTCACCAATGATTCCAGGACAGCTGAGGACCAGTACACCATTGCCCTGTGCAAGTAGTTCTCTTCAGTCTCCCCCTGAAATTCACATGTTGCAGGCACGGTGGCACATGCTACGATCCCAGCTACTCGGGCTGGGGCAGGAGGGTCACAGGCTTGAAGCCAATCTGGCATCTTAGCAAGATCCTGTCTCTAAGGAAAGAAAGCGCTGGTGATAAGCTCAGTGGCAGAGAGCTTGCCTAGCACACATGAGGCCCTGGCTGCCAGCCCCAGCACTGGGCGGGGACGGGGGGACTGAAGTCCTAACCCCTGTACCTTGAAATGTGACTTTATTGGAAATAGGATCCTTGCAGATATAACTAGCTAAGATGAGGCCCTTTCCAGTGTGACTCGTGTGAAGGGTAGCCCTGTTCCAGTATGGCTGGTGTCCATCTTTGTTTATTTATTGGTCCCAGGGGTGCCATATCCTCACTGAGACACATCCTCAGCTGTTTTCTTATTTTGAGACAAGGTCTCACTGAGTTGCTCAGGCTGGCTTTGAACTCACAATTCTGCCTCAACCTCCTGAGTCACTGGGATTATAAGGATATGCCACTGTGCCCAGCTATTGGTGTCCCTTTAACAAGGGACGTTTGGACCCCAGGAGGAAACCACCTGAGGAAGGGATGTTGCGTGTGCAGGCCAGGGAGTGCCGGAGAGCCACAGCCGGAGCTGGAGCAGAGCCTGCAGAGGAAGCGACTTGAGTTCTGTGGCTTGAGTCCCCAGTCGCCCTAGAAAGCCAACACGGCTCCAGTGTGGAGTCCACGTGGCTCCTGGTGGCCCCAGTACTACTCTTCCCCAAGCACCCCCCACCCAGGGACAGGGGCCTTCGCTTCTGGACCTGAGCCCTGGGCCCGTGCGGCCTCCCAGCCCCGACTTCTCACCTTAGCCACGGGCTCAGGTTCCCTGGGGGGGACTCTGCGTCTCAGTCTCAGTCGCTTTTCTTTCCGTCTTTGAACTAAGTTTTCCAAGTCAGCCACGGTCTCCAGGTTCAGTCTGGAGCTGTTGAATCTTTCCAGCTGGGGTGGGAAGTGGGCAGAAGGCGAGGCCAGGCCAGCCATCAGCCTGTGGCTGGGGCCCTGGGGCAGCCTCTTGGTTGGTGTGCTCCTGGGCTGCTCTGCCCAGAGACACAGCACCAGCCTGGCCCCCAGGCCCTCGCTGCCCCACTGCCCAGCCTGGACTGGCCTCCCCACAACAGCACTTACTTTCCTCTTCTTCTCTTCTTCCAATTTTAGCTTCTCCCAGGCCACGGCCTCTTGGAGTCCCAGCCTCCAGTCAGTAGGCCAGCCTCCAGGATCAGGAACTTCAGGCCCAAATCCCAACGTTTTCCCTTCGACCCTCTCTCCGCTCACCTGCAGGAAAGGATGTGGGTGAGCAGCCCGGGAAACCCGAGGGAGGAACCCACAGGAAGCCTGGTGCAGGACCAGGGAGACCCTGACCAGCCAAGCTGGGAGTCAGCCTGACCCTCCCTTCCCGAAGCTCCCTGGTGCTCTGGAGCACGGCAAACTCTGACCCCTGTGGTGGTCCACACCCACTGTGGCCCAACTGGCTGCTGCCTCCTCTGCCCTGCTCAGAAGCCTGCAGGGTTTGGGGGCATGTGGCCACCTCTATTTATAGTGCTGGGCCGTGTCCAGGAGCCCGGGGCAGATGACACCTTAGCTTCCCTCTTGGGCTATTGTCCCTAGATTCCTACCAGCTTGTGCTACACTGTCACCTGACCCCAAAATTCTAAACCCCTGGGCTCAGCTCTCTGCCTTTGGTGAAGCTGTTTCTACCTCAGTGAAAGGGGCTCAGACCAGCACTTCCCAAGGGCACGGAGGTGACCCGAGCTGCTGGGAACTGGGCTGCGCTGAGGAGCGTGGGGTGGGGAGAAGGGCAGGGTGACAGGACAGCAGCTCAGGGCTTCCAGGCAGCACAAACACATGCCCTTCTGCGGCACCTGCCAATGCAACCTTCCCTGGGCCCTCCAGGCCCCTCCTGGCAGGGGCTATGCAGGCGGGGGCCACTGGCCAACCACGGGCCTGCTGGACAGCAGACCATTCTGGGCCTCACACCCTCTAAAACTGACATCCTGAAGTGTCATGTCCAGAGCTCACACAGCACCCCCTCCCCCATACCCTCTGGACATTTCCAGAGCAAAGGCCATCATGGTGCTTGTACTAAAGGAACGCCTCGCTACCCCTGTGTCTTCTGCAGTCACCTGGCACTTCCTGTTCTGCCACCCAGTTCAGGGCAAACTCACTAAACTCAGGCTGGGGTGCAGCTCTGTCTAGGTGCTTGCCTAGACTGCGAGGCGTCACAAAACACCAAAAAGACTCAGGAGGATGAGGCAGGAGGGTCACAAAGTTTGAGGCCAGTTTGGGCAACTTAGCAAGACCCTGTCTCTAAGAAGAAAAGGGCTGAGGATGTAGCTCAGTGGTAAATTGCTCAGGTTCAATCCCAGGACCAAACCATCAAACCAACCAACCAACAAAAACCCCCAACAAACAAAAAGCAAGAGAACAAACGTCAGCAAGCTCAAGGGTTTTCATGTCCACCGTCGCCCAACCCTTGCCCGCTGTCTCCCTGTCCTGCCCTGAAGCCCCTCGCACCTCCCATGAGAACCAGGCAGAGACCAGGAGAGAACCCGGGCCTCCTTGTCCTCCCCGACCCTCAGACCATGGCAAGAGTGGCCACCCTCCAGCCAGCAGGTGCCATTCTGCTGGGACAGTCTGCCTCCCACCCCACCGCATCCTCACCAACTGCTGAATGCTGACGAAGTCCATGGTCCCCCCTGCTCTCCACACCCCCAGTGAGGGGAGCGCGTGGCTCAGCCCTTTTATAAGAGAGCCGAGGCCTGGGGGTGGGGAGGACAGGCTTGTGCCAGGACCAGATGACTCTAGAGGGCTGTCACACTCACCAAAATACCAGCCTGGGACTGTGGCCCACAGAGGGCAAGAAAAGGTGCAGCCAGGAGCTGAGTCGGCCACCTCCTAGACAGCCACTGCCCTGCACCTGCCACACCCACGTCCCAGGGAGCCCGGGCCCCAGCCCAGAGCCGGGGGACGTTCCCCACTCTTCTGGTCCAGAGCCCACTTGTGAGGGGCCCAGCCCCAGCCTCCTGTTGTGTCTGGCTGCCTGGGCACCAGCCCAGCTGCCCCCGCACAAGGCCAGAGTCCTCCCGAAACCTCGGGAGGGACAGGAGCAGAGGCTGACCTACTGCCGCAGGAATCCCCGTGGCCTCTCCAAGAGGGACCCAGGTCTCATGCGATGGCCCAGTGCGCCAGTCTCAAGGCCACCCTTCCTTCTCCGCCCCTCCCTCACCTCAGTTGACAGCCCCATCACCAAGAGGCGGTCATCGGTCCACTGCCCTGTAGAAGTCCTCCATGCCCCCAGGCAGGACCCACCAGACACTCTCGGGACATGGCGTGCCCCTCCACAGGCACGAGGGACTGAAGCTGCAGATTCTAGTTAGCGGGTGACCCTGAGACCCCGCTGCCACGTCAAATGTCCTAAATCTCCTTCAGAAGCCACGTGTGCCCTTTGCCCAGCTGCGCTGAACTCTGCTTTGACCTTTGAAAGGAAACCAGATAGCTGGTAAATAAGGCTCCAGAATCAGAGCCACACCATCAGAGGTGACCAAAACAGGAAGGGGGAGCTGTGGCCGAGGAGGCCCCGTGGTCCCAAGGCTGCAAAGGCCTTGGGGGAACTGGGGAAACCCAGAGCTTCTAAAGGACCCGATTCTGAGGCCTGGGGGTGTCTTCTTTCGACAAACTCTCCAGGGTCTGAGAGGGAAGGGCTTCCCAGGGCAGAGCCAGGGCAGGCAGGAAGTCAGATGCCCAGCTGTGCCCTTTGCTGTCCACTCGGCCTCCACCTCCTGCGACAGCAGGGGACAGGGTGTCCGAGCCAACAGGATTCACCTGAAGTCCTCAGCAGAAAGCCAGTCCACCCCCTGAATCTAACGGCTCTGTCATCAAGATCCCCAGCACTAACTTTAAACAAATTCTTCTGTACAGAAAATCCAAACGTAAAGCCCAAGTCTCCCCGATGAGCCCCTCCTGCCTCAGTGGCCCAGGGAAGCCATGGTGCTGGCTCAATGCACGCCTCTGCCTTCCTCTGTGTCTCGTGTCCTGTTCCTAAAGACTCTGTGCCGTGGACACACCAGCACACGCTGCACTCCATGAACATGCCCCTGCCCCATGGGCACCCTGGGTAGCACCCTTTCTCCTGAACACCCAGGTTCTCATGCCCCGCTGCTGTTTGCTGCTGCTTGCTGCTGCTGTTGTGTTTTCTCTGCAGTGCTGGGACCAACCCCAGGGCCTTGCATGTGCAGGCCAGTGCCACGGCTCTCTGAAAAGGCCTCTGTAGACAGACATTTTTTTTTTTTTAACTTTTATTTATTTTATGTGGTGCTGAGGATCAAACCCAGGGCCTTGCACATGCGAGGCGAGCGCTCTTATCACTAAGCCACAACCCTAGACCGAAAGACATCTTTTAACCATGGAGGAATCTCTCTAGGTAGGCACAGAGAAATCAGATTACTGGCCCTGCTCATTTTATTTAAATAGATTTTGCCAAATTGCCATCCACAGTGACTGTACCAATTCCTATGAACAGATACCAACAAAGACAAGTGACAATATGAAAGAAAATAAAAAATTAATGTAAGCCGGGTGCAGTGGCGTACGCTTGTAATCCTTGTGGCTCAGGAGGCTGAGCCAGGAAGACTGTGAGTTCAAAGCCAGCCTCAGCAACGGTGAGGCACTAAGCGAGACCTGTCTAAATAAAATACAAAATAGGCTGGCTCAGTTAGTTGAGTGCCCTTGAGTTCAATCCCGGGACCCCCCCCAAAAAAAGGCATATATGCAAAACAGTATCAATACCAGAATATAAACAACTCCTACAAATATAAAGAAAAAAAAAATAGCTGGTTGTGGTGATGCTTGCCTATAATCCCAAAGACCCAGGAGGCTGAGGCAGGAGGGTCACAAGTTCAAGGCCAGCTTCAGCAAATTAGTGAGGCCCCAAGCAACTTAGCGAGACCCTATCTCAAAGTAAAAAAGGGCTGGGGGTGTAGCTCAGGGTAAAGCACCCCTGAGTTCAATCCAAAACCCCCACCAAAAAAAAAAAAATTTTAATGGGCACAGGCAGGCAGTTCAGAGACAGGTGTGCAAGTCTCACCAGTAATTAGCAATGCAAAACAAAACAGAGCCAAGGAACCTTCCTACCCCCTGGATTACCAGGGTTAGTGAAATTGTTTTATAAAAGCCAGTGTGGACAAAGCTTTCGAACTGGGCACTCTTGTAAGCTGTGGGCAGTGTGCCAGGCCCTCAGATGCGTCCCCCAGATTCACCTGCTCAGTCCCCAGAGCCACCCTGAGGACGCTCTCCTCTGATCCTCACCTCACAGCCCTGGAAACTGGAGCCATACAGGTAACGTGGCTGTGCCAAGATCCCTCAGCGGCTCTCTCATCAAGATCCCCAGTGGCTCCATCACCTCGTCAGGTTTTCCTCTAGTATTCACCTGGTTTGGGGGTTTCATTTTTGAAACAGGGTCTTACCAAGTTGCTGAGGCTGCCCTCCAAGTTGTCCTGTCCCAGCCCCCTGAGTTGTTGAGGTCACAGGCGAGCAAGCCCCAGCTAGTTTTGTTTTTATATGAAGGTCTTTCATTCTTGGAATTCACTTTGAATGAGGTAAGGATACGAGTTTGTTTGTTTCCAGATGAGTGGCCGTTCACGTGACAACAATGTAGAATATGCTCCTCTGTCCAGGCGTCCACACTTCTAGCCACACCTCCCCCTGCCACGCGGGCTCTCGGGGTCTCAGCCACAGCTTCCTGCCTGCAGCGTGGGTGCTGGGCAAGGCAGGGGCCTGGACAGCTGTCGGTGTCCCTCCAAGGGCGACCTGATGCAGGGGGGCCTCAGCTGGCCAGCAGGCCACGCAGGTCGCTGTTGCAGGGCAGCAGGTCGCAGGCCAGCCGTGCCTTCTGGTCTCGCACAGCCTTCAGAGCGGGGCTGTGCTGCAGCAGCAGGCAGCAAATGTCCATGTGCCCCTTCTCGGCTGCCTGTGGAGACAGGGGTTTCAGAAGGGCTCCTTGGGCCTATGCCTGGCTCCACGTCCAGGAGTGTTCCTCTCACTCCTACAAGGCCTGGAAATGGAGACGCTGCTGGCTGCAGAGGTCCCTAATTCCCACTACCCAAGGACCTGCATGTGCCCGGTGGTGTGCCCAGCCTGTTATTCTTCTTGCTTCCTTTGCCAAGGCCACTCTTGTTTGGACAGACTTGCTCATTAAGAACAAGAACAGAACCTTGAACCTGCAGGCATCTCCAGCCAGGCGCTGGGAGCCTGGGCAGAGAACATGGACACAGCCCTAACCGGGAACGGAAATGAGCAGGGAAACGGGCCCAGGCCCCACTTTCTCTGTCGCGTTCCTCACAACTAAAACACTCAGGGTCACTCCAGGGGAACTGGGCTGCACGAAATAACCACACAAGAGAGGAGATACCTTTTTCTTTGGGGTCCTGTAATGGCTCCTCTGACCTTAAGGGTCCGCAGAGAGAGAGAGAGAGAGAAAGAGAGAGAGAGAAAGAGAGAGAGAGAGAGAAAGAGAGAGCGCTGACCCCTTTTATTGAGGAGAAGCCATTCAAATGAGGCAAGGGGTCAGTTTCAGGGGATTGAGTCCAGCTTCCTGATGTCTGCTGTCGGCAGGTTGACTGACATCTAGGAAGGCCTCATCCAAAGGCAGAGCAAGAGAAGGGACACACAGAGGGCATTTCCCAAACAGGGCAAAGGGGTGATATCACAAAGGAGCAGCTGAGGGTAGCTTAATCCATGGGGCGACACACCACGTCTGAAGATCACTGTGAGATGTAGTGACGGTCAAAGCCTCTCGGCTCCAGGACAGAAGGTCATTCAGAGTGGCTGTCCACATTTCTCCTTCTTTTCTGAGACAGAAAACCCTCTTCTAAACATCGCTATCTAACCTACCTCCTCCAAAAGATAACAGAGGTCAGTGATTCACATTAATGATCTCATTTAGGAACCATGTTAATCCCACTTTACAGAGGAAGAAACATAAGCTAATATAAACTAAGTAACTTGCCCAAGGTCACAGAGCAGCCTGGGACCCTAAGCCAGGTGGGTCTGACTTTAGAGTTTGAGCTCTTCCCACTCTACCCCAGTGTTAGGGGTGGAACCCGGGGCCTGACGCATGTCAGGCAAGTGCTCTGCCACTGAGCTAAAGCCCCAACCCCAGTCCTTTTTGTATTTTATTTATAGACAGGGTCACAGTGAGTTGCTTAGGACGTCATGAAGTAGCTGAGACTGGCTTTGAACTTGTGATCCTCCCGCCTCAGCCTCCTGAGTGGTTGGGATTACAGGTGAGTGCCACTGCACTGGTGACTACAGGGGCTTTTGAGAGGTATCAGAATTAATACTAGTAGCAACCACCATTCCAAATTTGAATCCAAACCTCTGTCTGCAGATCCCCTTGGAGAGCACAGATTGAGGGCTCTGGGCTCTGCTGCCTCAATTTGGGTGGCCGCGAGCAGCTGTGAGGGGTCCCACCTAACTTTTTTTTACGAAAAATGAAGTGCTAATGTTTGCGAAGTCCATTTAAAAAACCACACACCGAACAAAACTAAAACGTATGTCCATCACTGTCTCTGTATACCTATCCCTAGGTTCTCACTGTGGGCGAGGGAAGAGGAGGCGCTGCAGCTGAAGGCGGCCAGCTGTGGGCACACAGCCAAGCACGCCCCAGCAGCATTCTGCCGAGATGCACCCTGTGCGTGTGGCAGCAGAACACCTGGGCCACGGCAGCCAGCGCCCATTAGAGGGGCCGAGGCAGGCAGAGCTCAGGACAAGCGGCAGGGGTAGGCGACCCTGGCCAGCCTGGCAGTTTGGCTCTGGACTTGGGAAGAGAGCTTCTGGAGACTGCAAAGAGGGCAGGGCTTGATGAGACTCTTTGGAAACCACTGCTCTGGTGGGAAAACCAGGGTGGAGACAAGAGGTGAATGGGTTCACATACACGGGCCTCTCGCTGAGACCCCTCTGCAAGACGCACAAGAAGTGCCTGGAGGGGGCACCCGAAGACCAGGGGCAGACCCTTGGCTTTAGGCTCTTCCCCACAAGAACAGGCGTTTCTGGTCAAAGGAGTTTAATGGAACCACCGTGGCTGTGAGCTGGAATGGGCTGCCAAGCAGGGAGTGGGGGAGTGTCAGAAAAGCACCCCTCAGGGCACCACAGGACAGAGAGCTGAGCACCCGGCTCATGTCCGTTGTGTGCACAAGAAAAAGGCTGGGAAATCGAGCTGATCCTTGGGAGTCGGCACGCACTGAGGCTTCAGGTGCTCTTCATTTCCTCCTCTACACTTTCCTGTTCCCCATGTTTTCTATGGTGAACATGTCGTTAACCTTTATAATAAGAAAAAGCGAGTTCTACAAGTGGCAGAGGGACGCACCTTGTGAAGACTGGTCATGCCATCGTCGTCCACCAGCTGGGGGTTGGACCCGTGTGCGAGCAGCAGCCGGGCAACCTCAGTGTGCCCGCAGTAGCTGGCCCGGTGCAGTGCAGTGGCGCCCCCGTGGGTCTGGGCATTGCACTTGGCCCCGCTCTCCAGCAGGAACTGACAGACAGCATAGTGCCCATTGCGGCTGGCGTAGTGCTGCAAGGACAGAGGCTGTGGCTAGAGAGCAGGACCCAGGCAGGTGACAGGGTGGTGGGGGAGACACAGGCTCTGTAGCAACGGGGGCCCAGCTTAGGGAACACCTGCTACTGCGCATCCTAGCATCAGTTTTCATTCCCACCTCATAAGACGGTCATGAAAATAAAATGAAATACCTGATGTAAAGCTCTTATACTAATTAAAACATCCAGGTTCATATGATGCTTAAAAAAGAAACTTTGCAGCTAGGCGTGGTGGTGCACACCTGTAATCCTAGTGACTCGGGAGACAGAGGCAGGAGGATTGCACATTTGAGGCCAGCCTCAGCAATTTAGTGAGGCCCTAAGCAACTTAGGACCCTGTCTCAAAATAAAAAAAATTTAAAAAGAAAACTGGAGATATGCTCAGTAGTTAAGCATCCCCAAGTTCAATTCCCAGTACCAAAAAAACAAACAAGAAGCTTTGCTGAAATACAGGGAACATAAAATGTCAGTCACCTTTACATCACTGTGACAAAGATAATCAGCTTAATAAGGGAAGTTTGGCCTGGGGCGGAGCTTAACCGTAGAGCTTTGGCCTAGCATGTGCGAGGCCCTGGGTGTGACCCCTGGCAACACAAAAACAGTAATAATAATGACAATGACAATGAAAAGATTTACTCTGGCTCAACTGAGGAGGTGGCAGACCTTGGTTGGCTGGCCTGCTGCTTTTGGGCTGGTGGCAGTCAGCACACCATGGGGGTGGGTGCAGGCAGGTGCACCCCATGACCTCACCTCCTTCCCTTGGGCCACTTCCTGCAGGGTCCCCCCCTCCTAGAAGCACTGAAGGCTAGCCTCTAGGGACACTTAACCACACTGGGGCAGTGAAGATACAAGGTAAACACACTCCCCTCCTCTCTCCTCTGACCCTGTGTGCTCCTCAGGCTCACCAGGGCAGTATAGCCAGCAGAGTCCGGCTGGCTGGGGTCTGTGGACTTCTGGATGAAGTGCTTCACTCGGTTCAGGTCTCCATTCAGGGCTGCCGACCAGATTCCTGCAGAAAGACAGCCATGGTACTAAGCAGGGCAGCATGACAGGATTTCTTAGCATTTCCACTATTTTTTTTTTTTTTTTGTACTGGGGATTGAACCCAGAGGCACTTAACCACTCAGCCGCATCCCCAGCCCTTTTATTTTTATTTTGCTAAGTTTCTTAGGGTCTTGCTAAGTTGCTGAGGCTGGCCTTAAACTTGTGATCTTCCTGCCTCAGGCTCTTGAGTCTCTGAGGTTACAGGTGTACATCATTGTGCCTGGTTGAAACCTGAAACTTTTGAGTGCCGACAGGACATCACAAATGGAAAATTCTACACATGATTTCACAATGGTTTGCAGTGAAAACAGGCCTAATAAGAATATTGTATGAAATTACCTTCAGGCTAAAAAGAATAAAATTTTTTTTTTTTAAAATTACCTTCAGGGCTATGTGAATAAAGTTTATGTGAAAGAAATATAAGTGGATGTTGTGTTTAGACTTGGATCCCATTCCCAAAATATCTTAAATATTTGCAAATATTCCAAAATCAGAAAAAAAAAATCTCAAATCTGCAACACTTCTGGTCCTGAGTATTTGGGATAAGGGATGCTCAACTTGTACTTACTATGTACCTAGTACTGTTGTAGGCACTAGGGGTCAGCTGACAAAATAACCCTAATCCCCCCTACACACAATGTTTGGCTTTATGGAACTTTTCTTTCTTCTTTTTTCTTTGATGGTGGTAGTGGAGATTGAACTCAGGGGTGCTCTACCCTGAGCTATACCCCCAGCCCTTTTTGAAATTTTGAAACAGGGCTTCACTATATTGCCCAGGCTAGCCTGGAACATGCAATCCTCCTGCCTCAGCCTCTGGAGTCAATGAGATTACAGGCATGCATGATACTACAGAGTAATTACACTCTAATTAAAGGAGAAAGATGAAAATAATGTGTATATATATGTTTATATACCTTATATATAGGTATGCATAATCTGCTATACACCTATGTTCATAAACTATACATATAATCATGTATGTACCTGTATACATGTATTCTGTATACTTGGTAAGTCAGGTTGTGCTAAGTGCTCTGAAGAAGACAGGGAAGGGCTGTATGCAGTGGGTAGGGATGGCCTCTCTGACGAGGTAATACACGAACAAAACAAAGGAAATGAGAAAAGGCATCACTTGAATAGATGCATGAAGAAATAAAAGCAGAAGAAACTCCCCCCCAAAACCAGATACCCTGACCTATGCAACTTGGAGTTACAGGACCTAAATCTTCATTATTCCCCAAGTTAAGAATATTATATATGGGGCTGGGGCTGGGGCTCAGGGGTAGAGCACTTGCCTAGCATGTGTGAGGCACTGGGTTTGATTCTCAGAACCATGTATAAATAAATGAACAAAATAAAGGTACATCAACAACTAAAAAAACTTTTTAAAAAAGAATATTATATACAGAGATTTATCAAATTAGTGTACATACAAATGTGGCATATGAATCCCACTATTATGTATATTTACAATGCACCAATTTTAAAAAGTTATAATCTAAGTTGAGTGTGGTGGCACATACCTGTAATCCCAATAACTCAGGAGGCTGAGGCAGGAAGACTGGGAGTTCAAAGCCAGCCTCAGCAACTTCGTAAGGCCCTAAGCAACTTAGTAAGCCCCTGTCTCCACATAAAAATAAAAAGGGCCTGGGAATATAGCTCAGTTGGTAGAGGGCTTGCCTTGCATGCTCAAGGCCCTGAGTCTAATCCCAGCACCACAAAGTAAATAAATAAACAAAAAGGTCTGAAAATGTAGCCCAGTGGTAGAGTGCTCCTGGGTTCAATCTCCAGTACCAAAAAATAAAAATTAAAATAATTAAAATAGAAACAAAAAAATACAGAGAACACTTAAAAGTCATCAAAAAGAAAAGATCATCATGCATCAAAGACCAACAATCAGATTTACAGCAGACTTAACAACTGTTGCAGATACAAACAGATAAATAATAATATTTCCAAAGGACTAAGGGAAAAAACCAAACTTGTCAACCTCAAATTTTATGCATAACTAAGCTATCACAAATGTAGGGGAAGGAACAGACAGCATCTTCCCTGAAAAAACTATTAAGCAGCTATTAACTATGTACTTTTGGCGACGCATGGTGGCACACACCTGTAACCCCAGCAGCTCAGGAGGCTGAGACAGGAGGATTGCAAATTCAAAGCCAGCCTCAGCAACTTAACCAGGCCCTAAGCGACCGAGCAAGACCCCGTCTCTAAATAAACTATAAAAAAAGGGCTGGGGTGCTGGGGTTGTGGCTCAGCGGTAGAGCACTTGCCTAGCATGTGTGAGGCCCTGGGTTAGATCTTCAGCACCACATAAAAATAAATAAAATAAAGGTATTATGTCCAACTACACTAAAAAAATGTTTATTTTTTTAAAAAAGGGCTGGGGACGTGGCTTAGTAGTTAAGCACCCCTGGGTTCAATCCCCAGTACAAAAAAAAAAAAAAAGTACTTCTGAAAGAAGAAAAATGAACCCAGAGAAAAGATACGATTTGAAGGGGGAAAAATTCACACAACAAAATTGATAAAGATTTTATCATTGTGGGAAATAGAAAACAAATGAATAAGCAAAATGATGTCAGGTATCAACAATGCTATGAGGAGAGCAAGGTGACAGGTGTTTGTTTCAGAGCTACCTAGAGGGGAAGGGCCCTGCCTTGGACAGTGCAAGTTTTCTTTCTCAAAAGCAGCACTGACCTTCTGGTGGGGAACATTCCTTGTGGTGGGGAGCTGATGTGGGCATCAGAGAATGTACACAGCACCCTTCCATGTATCAACCAAAAAATGTCTCAGGAGGTAGAACTGTCCCCTCTTGAGAACCCTAGAATAGGGTGTTCTGGGAGAGCCTCTATGAGGAGGTGACACGGAGCTGCCATATGAAAACAAAGTACTAGATAGCCTAAATGTTGGAGAAGGTCACTCTAAGGAGATGGGACCGCAAGTGCAATGACCTTCATGGGAAAAGGTCTTGCATCTTTGAGAAACCAAAACAAGAATGGAGGAAAGCAAGGATGGGAACTGAGATGAGTGTGAGAAGTGGAGAAGGCGACATCAGCTCCAGACCTCTATGGGCCACTATACGGAATCTGGATTTATTGCAACGGGAACTGCAATATTCTGGTTGAGTATTTTCAAAAAGTTTCTCCGCTGCTGGGTGGAGAGGAGAAAACGCTGAAGGAGCACGGGTGGCGGCAGGAGAGGTGGAGAGGATGCAGCAGGCGCAGGAGCCACTGCATGGCAATGGGGAAGTATGAATGCATGAGCGGCGGCAGCACCCAGCCACCACCTGGCGACAACGTTATTATGACTGCAGAACCTGCCTCTTCCAGGTGACACAGAACGCAGCACAGTGGTTCTGAACAGAAGAGGGACCTCGGCTCCCAGCCTTCCTTACTAGCAGCATGATCTCTGGACCATCTGGGGCCGGTAGGTGGGGACATGGCCACCCGCCTCGCGCTCTTTGCCACGGCAGGAGCCTTTACACCGGCCGGCACGGCGCGCTCGCCGGCTCAGCAGGGCCAAATCCCCTCGCCGCGCGGCCCAGGCCTGACGCTCCATGCCCTCCAGGTGGGCACGATACCCCAGCAGAAGACTCTGGACCTCTAACCCCTGAGCGAATGTGTCTCTCAGGTGAGGAGCCAGGCCCTGCCATGCCACTTGGGAAAGTTATGGAAACCAATGCCTCGGACTCCCCGGCTCCACGCAAGACCAGGTGTCCAGGGACGCGCCCGCGTCGGGGTCTGCAGTTCCCAGCAGCGCGGGGGCTGTGCGCCTGTCGCCCTGCAGCCCTTTGGCACCAGGCCCAGGAGCGCCCGGCTCGGTCCTTTGCCCCACATCCGTGCCGGCGGACTCTGGGGCCGCGCGGCCGCCTCACCCCTCTCGAAGTCCATCTCCTCCAGCGTCTGCTGCACGCCGGGCACCGCCACCGGACGTGAGCAGCAGTGTGAGTCCGCGAAGGGCCGCGGTGCCGCCATCCTAGCCTCGCTGGTCGCCAGCCAGGCCTCAGTGAGCCAGGAGGGCGGACGCAGTGCCTGCCCCGCCACCCCAATCTGACCAATCGGCGCCAGCGACTGTCTCCAGAGTCCCGTCCCTCTCCAGAGCTGACCAATGCGGTGTCTAGGCCTTTGCTCAAGAACCAATGCGGAGGCGGGGCGGGACTTGCTGCGCCGGGCCGCGTTCCGACGCCGCCGCGCGAGGGCGCGCGAGGCTAAGCGGTGGGCGGCGGAGTGGCGGTCTCGGGTCCGGGGCTGGACGCCAAGGGAGTGCCGGTCGCCGCGGGGAGGGCGGGCAGCGCTGCCGCGCCTTGTAGGGTATGGGGACCAGGCGGCTGGCCCCCGCCAGCAGCTTTTGTCACGTTCTCCAGAACCCAGCCCTTTAGAGGCCTCGCCAGCTCTTTCCGTTACTGCTCTCGACCCACCCAGATCCCCACAGTAGCGGTCATCGGGCGCGCTCCGTGGTCCTTCACGCCTCCTTCTCCGCACCACCCAGTGCAAGCCGACCATGAGCGGCGCAGTGGCCTCCCGAAAGGCCCTGGATTCCGCCCCCCTTCCTTAAAAATCTATTAGGGAGCGGGTGACAACATGTTCTGCGCCTAGGTGCAGCCACGAGGGCAGGGCAGGCCGGGGCCTCTGTTTCTTTCAGTCACCCCCCACCCGCAGTGGAACCCGGCAGTGCTGTACCACCTAGCTGCACCTCCAGTCCTAAATATTTTTAAACAGGGTCTCCCTAAATTGCCCAGGCTGGGCCTACAACCTGCGAGAATACCACCTGTCTTTTGAGTAGCTGGGATTGTGACCCTGAAATCAATCCTCGTGTGTCTCTCAAGAGATCCTCTGGGCTGTCGTTGGCAGACCATGTGCTGAGTGCAGCACGCTTCTGATCTGGCCTTCTCAACCCACGCTCGCAGAGACCCAGGGCGCCAGCCTGATCAAGCAGTCAAGTGTGTAGGGAGACCTCGTTTGCACTGCCTCTGCTCCTGGGCGTGAGCTCGTTGTGTCTAAACCCGTCGGGAGCACTCAGAAATGAATCCAAGCTAGGGCCTGTTGTTTGTCTCGTGGAACATCTGGACTCTGTACCACCCTCTCACCAAGAGAAGGGCTTGGAACACACTGGGTGGCAGGAGGGGAAGTTCCTTCCCTACATGGTTGGGGCATTGAAGACTTGGCATTCTTGCATCTCTCCTCCCTGATCCATCCTCTTGCAAGCAACCACTGTCCACACACCCTTAGGCTGCTTCTAGGACTCCTCCTTCAGCCCTCTGACTCCCACTCACCCTCCCCAGAGTTCTGGGAAGGCAGGCCCCTCCCCGCCCCTGCCCTGACTTCTCCCTTTGGCCAGGAGCCAAGCCTGGCTCCCGAGGGACTGTGGCCCTGGTCTCTTTCCCAGCCCTGTAGGCACCACTGTGGGAAAACACTGGAGTCTGGGCTGTCCCCTCTGGCAAAGGACACAGGCAGAAGGGCCCACGGAAGGGGCAGATGCCCTGGGACTGTGGTGGGAAGCCCAAACCAGCCTGGATCTTTCCCTCTTGGTACCCTGATAGATGGGCTTTGGCCCAAATGTCTTATCCCTGTCACAGCTTTACTTTCTCCATTTTATTTGTCAATATAAAAATATTCAAATATTTACAACAAATAAATACGTGGGGACACAATAAGTTACACTGTTAGGAGAGCCCTCTTCCCAGGGCTGGGAGAGGATATGCCAGTATCCACAGCATGCCCACCCTCTCCATTCCCTCCCTCATACCTTTCCCAGCCCTGTTTGGTAAGAAGACAAATATAAAATACCACGGAACCCGCGGCCAAGTGGGAGGCCCCGCCCACCCTTCCCCCCAAACACACAGGAGGCTCCATCTCCCTCCCCCCCACCCTGAAAACATTCACAGCCCTAGAAGCAGGACTAGGCCCACCCCTGAGCCCTGCACTCCCCCCAAAGGGGTACAGCACCCTGCCCACCCCACCCCAATATGTACATCACCGCCCACACTCGGGGCAGGTGGGGGTAGGAGAGGCAAAGTGATTCGACCCCTTCCCCTTCATAGCTCCAAAGACTCACCAGGAGGACCCCAGGCCAAGGGAAGACTGACAGAAACAGGAAGGCTACGCTACATACATACACACACACACGCACACACACACGCACGCACACCACACAAATGCACACAAACACACGCACATCTTGAAACTTCTGCCTTGAAACATTTTGGCTGCTGGGGTCCCACGTGTCCAAGATTCACAGAAGAGGAGGAGCCTCCTGTGCGGCTGGTGCCCTGGTGAGCCACGCAAGTGGCAGTGCCCATGCTGAGCAGGTCCTCATGGCCGGGCGAGTGCTGGGCAGCGCCTGTCCCAGGCAGAGCAGGTGCCCGTGCCATGTCCCTGAGGTAGCTGGTGCCTGTGCAAATGTAGGCGTTGCGCCTCCCCCGCCCCCGCTGATGCGGTGGGCAGCTCCCCTCATACCGAGGACTCCTCGGGGTTGGAGTCGGGCAGCGGCTGGCGCTGCTGCAGTTTGCGCCGCAGTTCGTCAGCCAGCTCAGGCAGGGGATGCCCTCCCCGGTCCTCCCCTCCTAGCTGCAAGCGCACATAACCGTTGGCATTTGAGTTCCGCCCGCCCCCCAGGTGAAGCCTGGTTGGAGAAGGCAGGGGCTGGCCTGGGATGCCAGGAGGCGGAGATGGGGGCCCCCCTCCGGGCTGGCACCGGGCGTGTCCAGGCACAATCTTGAGGGAGCCATCTGAGTAGTAGTAGCCAACGGGATCCCAAAGTTTCTCATCTGTTTCAGGGCCGGGCCGAAAAGGGGGACTGGTGGGTTCTTTGGGCAGCTCCAGGGGGTATACCAGGGTCCTCTCAGCTGCCTTGGCGCCTTTTTCCAGCTCTTCCCGCAGCCGCCGGCGCAGGGACAAAACCAGAAGCAGCAGCACCAGGCACACGGCCCCCAGGGCCACCACAGCCAGCCACACTAGCCCCAGGTTTTCCAAGGGAGCCCGGGCCTCCAGGGTCACTGTGGGGCCCGCCACCACAGCCACAAGGTAGCCTTCAGCAGCCAGCCGTGCCCCCTGCTCCTCTGAAAAGCAGTGGTAGGTCCCAGCATGGCGGGGCTGGGCGGCCATCACCACCAAGGCCTGGAGTCGGGCATCGTAGAGGAAGGAGCCGGGCTGTTCTGCAGGTAGGTCCCGGCCTGCAAAGGTCCAGCGGGCGTGGGCCAGGTTGGAGGACAGGCGACAGGGCAGCACCAGGTCCGTGCCTGCTACCACTGTGATGTTCTTGGGCGTGAGCCTGGCTGCAGCAGCAGAGAGGGAAGGGAGCAGGGTCAGTGCGAGAGACCCAGGGCCCATCCCAAGGGGACGGGGCCAGGAAAGAGCTCACCTTTCTTACTGCCACGAAGGTCACAAAAGGCCGAGGTGTCCGAGATGGTCATGTGCTGAACCAGCAGAGATCTGGCAGAAGCAGGGGGTGTCAGCAGCCTGGCTCCAACACCGTGCCCACCCACCTTTCTGATCCCAGCCCTCACAGAGCCCGACTCACCCAGAGTGGCTGGCTACAGACACACAGCGGCTGGTGTTGACGCTCCAGGCACAATAGGGGTCCCGGGCGAGGACACAGTCTGCACAGAAGCGGTACTTCACACAGTCTGCCAGGGGCAGCTGGACCAGCTGGGAGCGGGAGCCCGCAAAGAGCAGCTTCTGTAGGAGAAGAAGCGTGAGAGGGTCCCCAGGGCCAGACACAGCGTAGGGTGGCTCAGACCCCAAGAAGCACAAGCAGGAGAGGTGACCAGATGAGGAGAAAGCAGAACAACAGCCCTCCAGAGAGGACCCAAGGCCTAAAGAACACAGAGTTTTCCTGCCAGTGAGCACAATCCTAAGCACCTTATGGTGGACATGACCTTGTTAGGGCCAACAGATACTTGACCCTGAGAGGTGTGATATCTCCCTCTCTCTGTCTGTCTGTCTCTCTCACACACACACACTGCAAGAAACATGTTCCTCCAGTTCCATCAGCTCTTACAATAGCACCAGTGCAGCATAAGGTGTTTTCCTCTGTTTGAATGGTAACTGCCAATCTGAGTGTTTACACAACCCCACACTCTCTTTCTGCCATTATTCCATGTGCTGGGCAGAATTTTAAGTCACAATAGCTGGCAAAAGGCAAACAAATCAGCATCGAGAGGGTGCTGCAAATGTGCCAGAAAGTTTTGCATGAGGGTTAAAGAAAAGGCCAACACTTTGGGGCACAGGGAGGGGAAGCGGAGGGTCAGGCCCAGAGCACCACCGGGGACTGGGTGGAAAGCAACCCTGGGAGGCCACTATAAACATGTCAAAGCTAGGAGGCCTAGCCAGCTGGGAAGGATCAGAGGGGAGGCTGTAGGCAAAGCCACAGCCCAACATGGAGGCACCTGAAGAAAATTCGAGCACAGGTGTCAGGCCTGGTCCCGGGAATTCAGCCCTGCAGGGACCCGGCATACATAATGCCCCTGCAGAGCGCCAGAACCATTCGCACGCGCCCTGACTTCCTGGGCTTGCCGGGGTTGACTGGGGTATGCTGCGCTGGCCAACCATGCCAACCTGACTAGGGATGGTGGAGGGGTGCGATGACAGCGGCGTGAGGCCTGACTTGCTACCTTGCTTGGTGACAGCACCAGACTTTCCACTGGCTCCTGGTCAAACACTTGCAGCTCCTCAATTAGGTGGACCCAGGTCCCCAGGTTCACAGCCTTGAGCAGCCAGCCATCTCCTGCGGAAGTTTGGAGGACAGGGTGTCAATGACAGGGAATGAGGCTCTTGGGCGTCTCCCTGCCCCAGGCACGCCCGGCATCTGCCTACCTGTGCCAATGAACAGCACTGTATAGGTGGCTCCGTCAAGTCCTGTAATGCGGTCGGCCACCAAGTGGGTGAAGTTGGTGTTCTTCTTCACGAGCAGGGGCCGGCCCCACCGAGGTGCCACCTGGTCCTCCATCAGTGGGTGCTTCTTGATGAAGTTGAGGGTGTTGTCAGGCAGCTCCAGAGAACTAGTGTAGCCATGGCGACGGTGCCAGTTGTTGATGCACTGGTGGAGGCAGGGGTGTGGGCAGGGCAGCGATCAGCTGGGTGGGAGGCCATTGGAACTGACAGAGGGAGTGCATCCCCACCCTGGGGACTCACCGAGCCAGGCCGGGGGCTGGGTATTGGGTCAGTGTAGCGACCCCACTTCTGTGCTTGCTCACGGTACTCCTTGTAGGGACCCTCGAACACCCGCTGGATCTCTTCCAACTGGTACTCACAGACTGCAGACACGTCCATATCACCCCTATTGCAGTGAGAGAGGGACTGCAAGGGTCAGGTCCAGTGCCTGCCTTACTATCTCCCGCCAGCTATGAGGATAGCAGGAAAGCAGGCATTAGCACAAAGTGCTCTTGGGAACAAGAATATACCAGCAGTCCGCTCTAAAGTGCCACCAGGCCAGGGCCTTGCTCACCTCACCCAGAGGGCTCTAAAAAGGGGCAAGTATGAGCCAGGCTCAGTGGCGCACGCCTGCATCAAAGCCAGCTTCAGCAAAAGCGAGGCCCTAAGCAACTCAGTGAGACCCTGTCTCTAAATAAAATACAAAATAGGGCTGGGGATGTGGCTCAGTGGTCAAATGCCCCTGAGTCCAATCCCCAGTACAAAAAAAAGCGGGGGAGGGGGGACCAGGCAAGTACTCAGTGTTCCAGACACTGACCACCTGGATATTCCCCAGAGGATAGCCTGGTGTAGGCCCTCCCACCCACACACTGTCCCTAACCTGAACACCTGGTACTCCCAACTCCACAGGATTCCCAGCCAACTCACCAACGTGCTCGAAAAACACCGAAGAAGGTGGTATTGTGCCAGGAGGCGCCCTGCAGGGTGTGCACAGCCCACAGCTGGTTGAAATAGAGCTGCCAGTCGGGCGCCGAGCACCCCAGCCGCGCCTTCAGGAACGTGGTCCACTTCTTCTGCAGTGTGCGCGCGCCCCCCATGTCGCCCTGGAAGATGGCAAGGGGATGCAGTGGGTCAGCCACTGCAGCGCCAGCAGGGCTCCCGGGGCCCATGCCGAGGGGCTACTGAGTACCTTGCAGACTCGGGCAACTCGGGCCACCACCTGCTCCGCATAGCAGTCATACTCCACAGCCCGCTCGCTGAAGAAGAAGTACACCTTGTCGTCATCCCCGGTGAAGCTCCCCACGCTCTCAGGGATGTAGGCAGAGGCGACAAAGTGGGGCTCTGTGGCAAGGCAAGGAGGGTCAGCCGTGGGGTGCTGGGGCCCTCACAGGCCTCCGGCCCTGGGCTTCCCCAGCCCACACCCTGCTCACCGTTGAGCCAAAAGGCCAGGTATTCTGTCTTCATGGGATGGTGGGGCCCCATGTTCCTTAGGATGACAGGCTCGGTGCCCAGGAAGTTGTTGAGGGTGGCTGAGTACAGCTCGCCATCTGCAGGAGATGGAGGATCAGCCACACCAGAAACAAGCCGGAGACACTCCAGAGTGTGCCAAGTCCCAGGGGACTCACCCAGTATGGGGGCAGCCACTCACCCACAAGGAGGCCAGTGTGGCCCTTAGCTGGGTCATAGGGACACTTCCCCTTCCCATCATCAAACTCTCCACGCTCCAAAGTGAAGGTGAGCATGTCCTAGGGATAGAGGGAGCCAGTCAGGAGGTCAGGCAACAAGGGCAGGGCCTTCTACTGGAGGCCAGGGCAGAGGGCAGCCAGGGAGGGGCAGCACTCACAATGTAGGCGCACTTGGGCTGAAAGGCGTAGGTACCACAGACATACAGGTGGGAGGCGTTGTAGGGCTGCAGGAAGCGGATGAAGTTGAAGCACTCCGTCTGCGGGGGAGAGGGGTCAGTCAGTGACAGTTGGGGGTGTGGGGCCACCAGTGCCAGGGTGGAGAGACGTCACCCTGGTGCAATAGAAGAGCAAGAAACAGTGCCCTGTGAGGTCCAGCAGGTGGGCAGTGCCTGAGCACCCACCTGGTTGCTCTTGCCTTTCTGGGTACACTCGATCTTCTTCTCAGCTGGTGCCTCCCAAGAGATCTGGGGAACAGGGGGGGGCAATGTCACAGGTATAGGCTGAGCACAGGATACCCTGTGTGAAAACTTGGTTCCCATCCTCTGGGGGCTTCTTTCAGTAGAGGACAGAAGTTCCTACCCACCAGCCAGGGGCCCTGGCACTTATGCCAGTCACTCAGGAGGCTAAGGCAGGAGTATTGCAAGTTCAAGGCCAGCCCCGAAAACTTAGTAAGACCCTGTCTCTAAATAAACTTTAAAAAGGGACCGGGGATGTAGCTCAGAGTTGTGCCCCTGGGTTTAATCTCAAGTACGTGTGTGTTGAGAGGGGAGTCCCAAACCACCCCACTATGGCAGAACCCAATAAGTGCCACAGAAAGGAGCAGAGAACTTGCTGATTCTAAAGGAGGGTGGGCAGGCCTGGGGGCTGAGGGGCAGGCTGCAATGCAAGCTCCTCCGCATCCTGTCCTGTCGCCCCACCCGCGTGCCTCCCCTGCCCCACCTCTCACCACGCCTTGCAGCTCCAGAGCCTCCACGCTGAAGGCAAACAGGGCCTCTCGGGCCCCCACATACAGGAGTCCGGAATGCTCAGTCAGAGTCAGTGTCAGAAAGTCCTGGATGCCCGTTTGGGAGAACCGCCTTACCACTGTGGCTAGATCTGCAGGGACAAGGACAAGGCCAGAGTGAGCAGGATGCAGACAGGCAGGCTTCCCTGGGGTTCCAATCTTGCCTTGTCCAATGGTCTTTTGGGCCCAACCACCCTGGTTCCCCACATGAGAGACACATGCAGATGGCAGCCACGCCCCTGGCTAGCAATAAAGAGCATTTTCTGAATAGCCTTTGGCTTTGACGGCTCCACCCAGGCCTCCCCGGCCTTCCTCAGCCTGGGAAGAGGCAAATCTGGGCTGGTAAGGAGGAAGGAAGGACACTTCAGCCACAGCTTCCGGCCAGAGGAAGCCATCAGACTGATGGCTCTCCCTGTCAGGGTCAGCGGCACCTCCAGCTGCAGAGCTAGGCACCCCCCCTCCGTTTCCTTGTCTTCTGCTTCCTCCTTTGCTGATTGCCTGCACCAGGGTCCAGCCAGGCCCTGCAGCCAGTCTAGCAGGGCAAGAGACACAGAAGAGTCGTGGGCTGTCTCAGGAAACCCTTCACTCCAGGCTGCCAGAAATGCAAGCACAGCTGGCCTGGGACAGGCAGGGCTGGCAGGAGGGGAAGGGGAAGAAGTTGGCACTGGGAGGTCAGAGATGACACTGAGGCTTGAGCCTGGGAACCTCTGCTGCCATTCAGCATGCACAGGGTATGTCACCATTTATCCAGTATATGACCCCTACAGCAGTCCCCTAAATAGCTGCCCCCCTGCCCTGAAGGTCCCCCCAAACCAGCCTGAGTCTTTGGCTGACACAGGTTGGCAAAGGAGGGCTTCTTTAGTAGTGGAGTGCAGCCTGTGGGAGGTGAGCTCATCCCAGGTCCCCAGAGTGCAGGGATGATACAAACACCTGACATCACCTCTTCACACAGGTGTGTGTGCACAAGGAGACTGCCAGGTCTGCCCTGTCCTCCCTGAATGTGAGCACATGCACTTATGCATACCCATCAAGGTGTCACCAGACAGCATGCGTGTGGGCAGCAGGAGGGTCTATTGGGGTGGATAAGGGGCTTCTGGGTACAGAGAACTAGAAAGGCTGGGGGGACAGCCTCTGACTAACTCCTGTCCTGGTTCTGATTTCTCCCTAGGCTTCCAGCAGCAGTGATTCACGAGGCGAGCATGGAGAGCAGACATTGCTCTCACTTGCACACCAGCCCAACAAAATCTGGGTTGGGGGGCTGGTAAAAATTCCCCCAGCGCCATCCTAAGTGTCAGAAAGGGGCACCTAGGATGCATCCCAGGTCCAAACCAATACCTAGTTCTGGGTCCCTGGGTCCAGTTACATTTCTGAGAAACTGGCACCAAACACATCAGAATAAACCGACCACAGGCTTAGAGGCAATTCCTAGGCAGCCTGTCCCCTGCCTCCCTCCCCCAGTCTTTTTGTCCGACTTGAAGCACTCACCCCCAGAAGGCACTGTCTTCCTGGGCACGAGATTCCACCACACCTCAGCCTCAATGCCCAGGCCCCACAGCCCTGCTGCCAGCAGCCAGACAGCCCAGTGTGGGGCCATGGTGCACGCCCCAGCTCTAAGCTCCAGACCAGCAGCCCTGCCGAGGGAAAAGAAATGGTCAGCATGGCCAGAGAAAACAACTTGGAAGGGGGCCACACCGAGAGCACACAGGACACCTGACAGGAGCTCCCTGGCCCCTCTCTTATGAGGGGAACCTAGCTCCCCACAGCTGGCCTCTAACCCCTCAGTCCCCCAGTGACCCAGAAGTCTCCCTGAGGGAGACAGGGAGGAGGTGAATCAGCTGGAGGCATGGACAAATATCAAAAAGCCCCCTAAGGCTTCCAGGCCCTCCCTAGCCCTCGCAACAGGAAGTTAGTTTAGAAAAATAAAAAAAGAGGGACACCCCCACACACACATTCAGACCTAAGAGGTTTGAGAGTTTCTTAAATTAGCCTCAAGGAGCAGGACCTGCATCCACTGAGCTCCAGCCAGCCCCAACCCAATTCTGGGAGGCAAACCCCTTGGCGGAGTGAGGGGACAAGTGGTGGGGCAGGGGGTTGGCAAAGCTTCCCACCCAGGGACTAGGTGCAGCACAGGTCCTGGACCCAGCCTGTCCCCTCCCCCAGCGCAGACAATAGCCGGGCAGAGCCCAAAACCCCGTTCCACATCGACAGGGACAGAGTGGGAGTGGGGCCGGGAGCCGCTGGGGCCCAGCTTCCCGAGGCCCCTTTGTTGCCCAAGAGGGAGGCAGGAAGTGGGTGGGATGGGCGTGGAAATGACCAGGGCCTCATCCTGTTCCTTGCTTGGCCTCCTAGGAGACACTAGCCCTCGGGCTGAGGGACGACAGGGATACAGTGCCAGTTCTGGTCAAAGCCGGGATCTCCCCGCGGAGCTGGCAGGCGGGGGCGGGGAAGCATAAAGGGGGTGGGGAGCCCAAGAGGGTTCCTCCAGGACCAAGGGGGAGGCACGCCTCCGGCCGGCGCCCCAGCGCTCCCTGGGGTGTGACGAACCTCTCCAACTCGGGGATTGCGCCCAGGGGGCCCTGCTCTAAGCAGACCATCGGTACTTATTTCCACTGCTTCTGTTCCCCCTACCCCGTACCGGGTACAGAGACAGAAGCTGGGGACTTGCTCACCCCAAAACAAAGGGTCCCCGCCAAGACCCCGTCCCGGGTCCCCCGGTTCTCCCCTCCCCCAGCTCCGGGGATTTGAATGCAAACAAAGCGGCAGCGCTGGGAGCATGGTGGAGCCTGGCCTACGGACGCCCTCTGTCGGCCCAGATCACCAGCGCGGGAAGGGCGGGGGGGATAGGGCTGCGTTCGCCCCCGACAGTTCCTCCAACACACCCCCAGCCTCTGTGCCCCTTACCCAGGCTCGGGCAGGACCCAGTGGCGTGCCCCGAGAATCTATGCACGCAGCGGAGCCCCCACCCCAGGCTCCTCCCAGGGCAAGACACCCACCGCCCAGGGGTGGAGGGGCGTGGGGTCCGGGCTGTGCGCTCGACACCCTTGCCCACCCCGAGCAGCCGGCCGGGACGGCGGCGCCCCAGCCGGGAACGGAGCAGCCGCGCTGGAGACGGGGGCCTGGCTTTCCCGGCCAACCCGCCTCCTCGGCGGGGCGGGCGGGCAGGCAGGGGGCCGCTGCAGGGAAATCCGATCCCACAACATCGGCCACGGTCCAAGCCCGCCCCAAACTTTCCGTCGGGGGTGGAGGAGCCGGGAGCAGCTGGGGAGCCTGGCGGGGATCCCGGCCCCGCGCGGACAGCCCGAGGGTCTCCCACTCCCCTGCCCGGCCCGCCCCTCCTGCCCCTAAGGCACCGGGCACTGCTCGCCCCGCTCCTCAGCACCGGCGAAGCAGCCGGAGGGAGCCGAGGGAAGGACCCCGGGCGGACAGCTGTCTCGGCCGCCGCCCCTCCCTGCGCCCCCAGACGCTGTCCCTCGCGCGCGCGACAGCCCGAGTCCGAGAAGGGGGACAAAGCGACGGCTCCGGGGCCCCACGGCTCCGGCTCCGCGCAAGCCCGGCCTCACTCACCTCTTGCACGCAGCTCGAATCCCTGGGCGCCGCCCTCGCGTTCGGCTCCGACCGCGGCCCGCCCCTACCCCCGCGCGCGCCCGCCGCCCGCCTCCGCGGCCCCTCTGCCACCGCCCCGCGTCCGGGCTCCGCTCCGCGCCCCTGGGCTCGGGCTCGGGCTCGGCGCTCCGCCGCCGGGGCCGGCTCTTTCTCCGCCGCGGCCGCCGCTCTCCGCCCCCTCCCCTGACGTCAGGCGGGGGAGTCGGGCGGGGGCGGGACGCCGAGGCCCGCGCGGGAGGGGGCTGCGACCCGCCGGCTCCAGGGCTCGGACCCCTGCCCGTCAGGGTGCTCAGCCGCCCCAGGCCTGGGAGTCGCGATCTGCGCCACGGCGCCTGGAGGTGGCGGGGAGGGACTCCAGGCGTTGCCACTGGAGAATCGGACTCACCTGGCCTTTCCGAAGTGTCCCCCGAAGACCTGCGGCGGGTTAGGCTCGGGAATGGGGCTGAGGTGCTCCTCACTCTCCAGTTACCAACTCAGGAGAGCCACATCAGGGCGCGAATTCCAGGAACGCGCGCCGGAGGAAACCCAGGGCTTCTCTTGGGGGAGGACCAGAGCGATCTGGTTTTTGGCCCCCAATTCTTCCTAGTTTCTGGTCCCAACGCCCACCGGCCCCTGCCCTCGAACTGGAATGATCCTCACAGATCCAAGTCTCGGGCAGTCCGTCCCTTGTTTCTTAGTCTCCTGGCAGAGCCTACCCCCAGGAAATGACTCCTTCTGGTGCCACTGGAAGGCAGATTAACAAGTGGCACGAGCCCTGATGTTCAGATGAAAGGGGCTGAGGAGCCACGCTGAGCAGCACCACCACCTTCAGAACCGACAGCCTCCGCCCACAGCCGGCCCACAGCCGCTCACTCCTCCAAGTAACTTGTAGCTCCGGCCTCCTGGGCGGTGCTGCCTGGCAAGTCCTCCTTCCTGCCAGCTGGTCCTCGGAATTGGGCAGGTGGACAGAGGAACCTCTGGGAGGCCACCCCCTGACTACAGCCAAAGGGCAAGAGTGGAGGGACTGCAGGCCCTGAGGTTTCCACCATAACTCTGAGCCAGGGGGAGTCCTGGAGGGAAGAAACACTGTTAGGCTGTCTGATCTAGAGTGTAAATCGGTGCGACAGAAGCTTTTGTTCTGGGTTAAAACTTGGCATTTGAAAAGTGGAGACCAGAAAAGCAGTGGAGATAATTCAGAAAAGCCGCCCAGTTTGGTTTCAGTAACAATTGGGTCTTTGCTGGTATACAAAAAGGCCCCATCCTCTCTCTCTGGCCAAACCACATTTCCCAGATCCTTTCCACTAGGAAAACAGCTGTGGCCTTGGAGATGCTGGAGATTGGTGGCAAGCCAGATTACAGTTACCTTGGGGTGGGCAGGGCAGGTGCCCTGCTGCAGCTGCCAGGGAGGGAAAAGATGCACTACCTCCTCTGATTATGGATTTTATTTTTTTAGTACTAGAAATCAAACCCAGGGCCTCAAGCACACTAGCCAAGTCAAATGCTCTACCATGAGCTGCATCCCCAGCCCTCTAGTCTTGATTAGACCCTGGTCCCATTTAAGTGGGGATTAACTGATATGCAGATGTTCTCTCCCATTCTTTTTATGCTTTAGATGGTCCAATTTGCCTTCATATACATTTCCCCACTCTACCCTCATGACCACCCTGTAAAAACTGGTAATGGCTGAGCATGACAGTGTACACTTGTAATCCCAGCAATTCAGGAGGCTGAGGCAGGAGGATCCCAAGTTCAAGACCAGCCTCAGCAACTTAAGGAGGCCCTGTCTCAAAAAACAACAACAACAAATAAAAACAAATAAACCAAAAATACCTGCAGATGCAGTGCAGTACTAGAGCACCTGGGTTCAATTGGGGGGGGGGGGCGGTGGGGGTGTTAAATTAAATCAGATCTTGGTATTCCCATTTCTGTCTTCCAACAAGTCAGCATGTGCCCTGACAATGTCCACTTCCTGCTTTTCCTTGCATTTAAGCCTCACCACCAGCCTCTAGGTGCAAGGGTTACCAGTCAGAGACCTGAGCTCCCTGGCTCTACCTCCAAGGTGGCCCCAGTGGAAAGTTTCAAAAGGTGGTTTGGTTTCACTGGCAGGGACAGTCTCCTTCTGTACCTCAATGGCAGGCATCAGGGTCCCCTATGCCAGGGATGTGGGCAGAAAGAAGCCTCCAGTAACAGACCCATGAGCCCCTCCTTCACAAAGACTCCTCAAAAACAAGGCTCCAGAAGGGCCAGGGGCACAGGCCTATAATCCTGATGAGAGGGGAGGATGGAAAGTTCAAGGCCAGCCTGGGCAATTTGGAGAGACCCTGTATCAAAATAAAGTACAAAGGGCTGGGGATGTAGTTCAGTGGTAGAGCATTTGCCTAGCATATGCAAGGCCCCGAGTTTGATCTCCAGGAGGTATAAATAAGTAAAATATAAATACCAGGCTCCAGTCCCCCCTTCCACCTCCCTGCATTTCCTGCTGTATTCTGTTCATTCCCGGCACTGACCTTTTCTGTAGGTGGGTGGGCAGAGGATAAAGTTTCTTTGTATGACTATTTATTCATGATTCATGCCTTTGAATAAAAGAACAACTGGTAGAAAACTAAGGATACTTGGGTCTTTCATTAAGAAAAAGTACTGCCAGGAGTGGTGGTTACATTCCTGTAATTCCAGCTACTTGGGAGGCTGAGGCAGGAGGATTGCAAGTTCCAGGCTAGCCTGGACATTTCAGCAAGACCTGGACTCAAAGTAAATAAAAATTAAAGGCAGCTGGGTGTGTAGTTCAGTGGTGAGCACTCCCTGAAAATAAAAATTACTAAAATGGGGGTGGGGTCAGTCATCTGTCACATACCTGTCTAGTCTCCCTCGGACTGGCCTGGTGTCTGCTATGGAAGGCATACACCCTTCAGGTCCTAAGCCCTGACAGACCCTCCTCCTACTTGCCCCCATTTGCTCTTGTGGCCAAGTAAGGGAAATACAAAGATGTGCTAAATGTCAGCTGAGACTCTCCAAAGATCTCTGGCAGCTCTGGCCAGTCTCTAGAGATGGCCCAGGAGTCTCACCTGAAAAGCAAATTCCATTCCCCCATTCCCCACCACTGGTCGTGAACCCTGGTGCCCTTGACTTGAGCCACTCACTTGCTACTCCCCTGAGGCATCTCTCCAGGAGGAAGGACGAGGGTCAACCCACAGATGGGAAGTGAAAAAGCTTGGGTCAGCCACCCTTCAGGGACTCTGGGAGTGGAGACATGGAAAAGAGACTTCCTCCCTCTACTTCCTCTAAAAGGAGGGTTATCAAAGCCATCCACCTGGGAAGCCTTTCCCTTTCCAGCCCCTCCCTGCCACCATCACCGAAAGGAAGCAGGAAAACATCCGTCATCACTGCTTTTCCAGTGGCTTCTACCAGGATATCCCCCGCCTTTTCCCAGGGGCTTCAAAGACCTGAAGGGCAAGTGGTAAAATTGCCAGCATCATTATAGAATTCGTGGCCTTCAGGAGGCTAGGATCTCTAACTGATCCCAGCACATTTGGGGACATCTACTCAGCTTCCAGCCAGTCCCAGCAAGGGCCCATTACAGGGCCCAGGGGATAGCATCCGGCCTTGGGTGACCTCCAGTGCACACCTCTCCTCAGGTTACAGCCAGGTATCTGGAGGGACTGAGTTGTCACCAACACCTCCTTTCCCCTTGATATCTATTTCCCTCTTGGTGATGAGTAGGTTTAGGGAGCAGGGAGCCAGGGCTGGGGAGAAGGGCTCCATCTATCTAAGCTGACGGACAGACCCTCCCTTTCCCCAAGCCAGGTAGGGGTAGCTTCAAGAACTGGAAACTCCCATTTCAGCCACTCGGGACTCCCTACCTGTCTCTGCTATTGGCAGTAAGAACAAAGAAGGGAAATTTCAAAGGTGATTTCCAGGTTTCCAGAGCACGCCAAGTAACTGAAGATCCACTGTCAGGATGTGCAGTGTCAGCAGTAGAGGCAGTCTGGAGGGAGGCCCTGCCCTCTTACCCAAAGACCTGGGCGGGCTGCTGCTGGGTAGCCCCTGGGCTGCCAGGGCCCATGCAGCATCTGTTGCAGCCAGAGAGAAACCAGAACTCATGCAGCCCAGGCATCCAAGTCACCCTGGCTCTGGAAGGGTTTCTTCCACCTCACTTGGCAAATACTTTGAAGCAGAAAAGATGTCCTGTGTGGCACCTGGCACTGTACTACGTCTGTGCCCTCTGAATAATAGATCCCCCAGCTCCGGGCACTCTGGGGACCCCAAGAGGGAAGCAGCTATGTCTGAAACAGGCCCAGGAAGGGATGTGTCCCACTTTGGGTCTGCACACGGAGCCACTGAAGTTCCTCTATTTATTTACTTTGGTGGGGGGGGGGGGTCCTGTCTTTTGAGTTGAGTGATCACAGAGGTAATTCTCTGCTACCTCCTGACTACCTCTTGTATCTTCTGCAAAATCTCATCCCAACCCAGGAATCAGGAGGGCCAGCCATGGATTGCCAGTATTAGGGAGTGGACAGACAAGAGAAAATGGATACTCAGGGATCTGCCGGGGCAGAGAGGGCCCACTCAACTCTCAAGGGGTGCAGGTCAAAGATATCCAGTACCCCACTAAGGATCAGAACCCATGAAACTTATCTGGGGCAAGGCAAGGGAAAGCAAGAGCAGGATCTGGAACTGTCTTTTGGACCCGCCCCCACTCCTAAGTCTGGGAAGTTGATTTCAGAGCTAAACAATAAATTGAATTAAGCATAATTACAGCCCTGATACACCATCTCCCTCTATGTAGCCTCCCTGGCGGGGGCGGGAAGTAGTCCCAGACTGGATCCAAACAAATGTTCCTCATCCCAGCTCCCAGTTTCCATGGCTCTTGGGCTGTAGGGGTAACTGCTGCCCCCTGCACGTCTGCAGAAAGCCCTCAGGTGCAGGACTAAGGCCTGCACCCCCCCCCTTCCTGTCACATGACTGCTGGAGGTGAGAATTTGTAGCAGGGAAGCCACAGGCATCCGAAGGCTGGACATTGGGCATGTGCCCTTGGGATCAGATGGAAAGGAGCTTCCTAAGCCACTGATGCTGAAATAAACTTTAATGTCACAAAGGAACCTCACATTAGAGTCAAGGAGAGAGGGTGGAGAGAGGGGAAGACTCCTAGGAGGGCCCAGGAGGCCCCAGGAAATCAGAGCCATGAGGCAAAAGCCTTGGGGAGGAATTGCTGCTGGGAAGGGCTGGGAGCAGAAGGGTGGGCTGGGCAGGGAGTGGCCGAGCCTTGCGGGCAGCTGACCGTGGTGGAGAGGGCTCCTGCTTCATCAGGCCTCTCACTCTGGGACCTCCTTTGGCCTCCATTCTTTGCCTCCTGCAGTTCCTGGAGTCCTGTTCACTTCCTGCTGGAGTCAAGAGCTCTGGGCTGCCCTGCCCTTGCTCCTTTAGATGTCTTTCCAGGGGCTAAAGTACTGGGCCTGTGGCAAGGAGAAAAACAGGCTGCAGTAACCTGGCCCAGGTGCTGCCCTCTCCTGAGACTCTATGGATAAACAGCAAACACTCAATGTCTGCTCCAGGCCTCCTCTGAGCCATGCAATGCTCTCAAGGCTCACCGTCCAGACAAGGACACAGCAGTCAACAGGCTACCTGACCACAATGTCAGAAATGAAAGCACTGCTCGGGTCTTCTCTCCCTCCGAACGGCTGCAGGCCCAGGAGTGTGAACAGAGGTGGTCCTGCACCCTGGCTCTGCCAGGCCACCGCTCGCTCTTCCTTCCTTTCTGGACAAACACACTGCTTCCCACCAGAGACTAGTGTGGTCCAGTTCCTGGGGGACCCAGGGTGAGGTCTGCTCTCTAGCTTTCTCAGGGACTTGTGAAATCTGAGACACAAGCTACAGCCTGTGGCCAGCGTGTCAGTCCCAAGTCAGAGGTTATGGGGAAGCACAAGAGACAGAGGCGAGCTGGGTGTCAGGGAGCCCTGAGAGGAAGGTGTGGACAGGGATCTTTGGCCCAGCAGTCTCCAGCAAGGCCTGGGGACTCCTGGACAGCAGAGCCTCAAGCCAGCCTAGCAGGGTGCTGCTTGTTGGAGAAATGGAGGTCAGAGGGGAGGGTGCCAAGCAGAGGTTGCACAGGCTCCTGTATCAGGCTAAGCTGCCTCTGATATTTGCAGAACTGCCTACGTGACTGGATGAGCTCTCTCACCTGTCAGCGCCTCTGGTCAGTTTGCTCATCTGTAAAATGGGCTACCGACAACACCTGCCTCATGAGGGTTAGGTACATGCATGCAAAAACAGGTCCTCAGGGGCTGGGGATATAGCTCAGTTGGTAGAGTGTGTGCCTCATATGCACAAGGCCCTGGATTCAGTCCCCAGCACCACACAACCACAACAACAGGTCTTTAGGAAGTTTTAACTATGAACATTATTATCTAGAGGGTCTGTGACAATCTGGGGATTAAAGTTTACTGCTATTGAAAACAGAAGGGATCAGGTTAGCCCAGGATCACTCTTGTTATAGAGTGGGAGGCCAGGCCCAGGTCTTCAGGGAAAGTGGACAGGGCGATGAGAGGTGGTACCACCGGTACCCCTTCAGGCACTACTCATGACAAACTGGTGCTGTCTCCCCAGGGCTGAGTTACTCTTCACTTTTTTTTTTTTTTAAGAGATGCTTCAGATTGAACCTTGGGGTACTCTACCATTGAACTACATCCCTAGCCACCTACCCCCCCCCACTATTTTTTATTTTTGGTATTTTGAGACAGGGTCTCACTGAATTCCTGAGGCTGGCCTCTACCCGCCATCCTTCTGGGGGTTGAATCCAGGGCCTTGAGCACACTAAAGGAATGTTTCAGCAATCACACACACACACACACACACACACACACACACACAGGCACTGGATTCTTGTTAAGAATGATGAGGGTCCCTCAGGGCATCTCCGCCCTCCCCCACCAACTGCCCTCTCCACCCTTGTCCTAGCCAGGAACTCAGCAGCTGCTGTGGACTGGACATGTGGCTAGTTAGCTCTGGCCAGCCCAGTCTGACCACTTCCCTCCCATCCTAGGTCTGGGGGCTGGAGCGGGCACCACCTGGGGCTGACAGTGGGCCAGTAGCTCCTGCCAACGGATGTAGGTCTGGGTGGCCAGGTCCTTGAGCTTGGTCCGGTGCATGGCCTGGGGGCTCTCCCGGATATGGGTGCTGATGTGGCGGTCCAACTGCATGCAGAGCAGCTGCAGCTCACCCTGTGGAGGCGGATACATGGGGGAGGGGCAGGAGGGAGGGCCAGCCAGAGGGAGGGATGGAAGCCTCTGAGAGCCTGCAGGCAAGTGGGGCAGGAAAGGCACAGGGCAAGGGTCAGGACCACTTGAGAATGGGTCATGGGACCTGGTGGGAGGAAGAGGCCCTGGCACCCCACCCTGGCTGGGCCTCTCTCTGCAGCTCCTGGCAGAGGACTGGACTGCACCCCAGCTAACCCCCCAGCTAACCCTGTCCCATCCTCTTAGGATACTTACCCACTGGTCTGAAGTAATATCCTGGCTGCTGACCACCACTCCAGCCAGTGTCAGGAGGCTGTGGCACATGTAGCAGACCTGGAGAGAGCGCAGAGAGGGGATGCTCTAATGTGGCCCCTGCCTCTGCGGGTTCCTGGCCCTCAAGACCAGTGGGCCAAGGGTGGAATCTCCCCACTACAGGGGTCCAGCAACAATCTCCAAGAGGACGGATGGCCTGTGTGAACTGGCTTGGGGCCACACCCACTCAGACCTCTGACTGCTAGCAGGCTCTACCAGCATCCCCCCTAGATGAACTGTCCCCTCTTCCTTCAGACAAAGAAGGAATCCAGGACGGGGAGGTACCTCAATAGGGAGTTTGAGACCCCAGGTTCATCCCCAGCACTGCAAAAACAAAACAAAGAGAACAAACAAAAAAGGAATCCCTTCCATCCAGAAACCACCCAAGCCTGTGCTGGGCCTCTAGCAGAGAGGCCAGAGGCACCTCTTCACTTGCATGTCTGCCCGTCAGCTGAAGCACACACACCTGTGGACAGGGTGACCCAAAGTGCCACTAACCCTAAGCAGCTTTGTGCACACAGTGAAGGGGCGCCCTTTGCAGGATGATGCACCTGCACACAGTTCCTGACCAGCACAAACCCGGATGAGGAGCGGGAGCAGGCAGAGGCAGTTTGAGTGGAGCATGTGCACACTTTCCCCACCAGCTCCACCCTTGTTCCTGCTGCTGAACCCTTCAAACTGACCAGAGGACAGTTCGACCCCAAGGCAGTCTGACCCCAGGGCACCTTGGACTCTCTTGGCACCATCCTCTACAAAATGTCTTCCAGGGAGCATCCCAAAAACAAATCAGGCCCCAGGTGAGAGGCAACCTGCTCCTGGCATTCTGAGCTCTTGTCTGTGGGTATGTGCCACCCCCACCCAGAGCTTCCTGCTGCCTTGTCCCCTTCTGCTTCTTACCTCTAAGATAAGCAGGGTGGTTAGAAACCTGTCACCATGCCTATGGCAGACAAACAGCCCCAGGACAAGCTGGGATGGGAGAGGAGAGTCGGGGGTGGCCCGCAGGGCTCCATCCTGGTGACAGTCTGGGCCCTGGATCCCCTGCCCTCATCAGCCTGCCCAGGTGGTGCCCGAGAAATGGCAGCAGCCTCCTCACACTGACCTAGGAACGTCCCCATAACAGAAGCCAGGAACATAACTGAGGGCACCAACTTGGCACTATGAACAGACTTCCTAAAAATGAATACATGGTACAAAATCCTGAGGACAGAGGCCACTGCAGGGCTCACACAGCAAACCTGCCCAAGACCCAGCTTGGTCAGCTTGGTGGCTAAGGCTACCGGGAACCTGACTCAAGCTGACTAGCCCTGGGGGCCCTGCACCTGGCTGGCCCAGAGACACAGCAGGAAGCCACTGCCCCAGTGGGTGGTACCAAAGCTCCTCAACTCTGCTCCCACCTGCCAAACCCTGACCTTCCTGTGTGCTAGGTGCCCTAGTGCCCAGGCCAGCTGATCACCGGCGAGGTGCCCTTTCGGTGCGCTGGGCCCTGAGGCTCCCTGGGTCCCCTGTATTCCAGCCTGGCCTTGAGAGAGAGGGTTCACTCCATTTAGCCTTTGCAATCCTGGCAAACAGCTAACGGCTCAGACCTGTGCATCTGAATTGTCCCTTGACTAAGGCACAGCCTCATCCACTTGGGAAGGAGGAAACTGCTCCAGAAAGGTAATCATTTAGTCAACCACCACCAAACCTCAGCTTTCCCGTGGACCAGGACAAAGTCCTTCCAGGGTTTTTTTTTTTGTTTTTTTTTTTTGGGGGGGGGGTGGGGGAGATACCCTGGGGGTGCAGCTCAGGGGCTTCAGGGAGGAAGTGACTAAGCTCAAGTGGGCCTCCATGTAACAGTAGGATTTGAGGCAAAGATGGCCCTGTGGGGGTGGAGGTGGGCAGATGACAATACCAGACAGATCCTGAGGGCTGATACAAGACACAGAGGGGCACTGGGGACACGTGGCCAGGGCTGAGGGTGGGCCTGGGGTCAAGGCCTTGGAAGGTGGCTGTGCAGGTGGGATGGAAGGGGGACCCAGGGCCCTCTCTGGAGCAGGAATGGCAGGACGAGGGCTTTCATCTGCCTTTTTCCTTTGTCCTTTCTTTTCTCTTCGGGGGTGTTGTGTGGGCGAGCACTCCACTGAGCTCCACCCCCAGTTCGCGTCTTCCCTTAAGAGTATTTCTCTACCATGTGTGTGCTTTACTCATGGAGTCAAAATATAATACAAACTGGTTGTTTTTCTAAAAATTACAAGACACTGCCCATGATAATGTGACTGAAACTCACTGGTCTTGGGGTGGGTGTGGGTAAGGGAGAGACACATGACCTTGAAAAGAAGCTGAGGCCTTTCCCTTTTTTGTTGTTGAAACCCAGGATTGAACCCACAGATGTTTAACCACTAAGGCACATCCCCAGATCCTTTTCATTTTTTATTTAGAGGCAGGGTCTCACTGAGTTGCTGAGGACATTGCTAAATTGCAGAGGTTGGCCTTGAAATTTTGATCCTCCTATCTCAGTCTCCCAAGTCACTGGAATTACAGGTGTGTACCACTATGCCCAGCTAAGGCCTTTCAAGAGAAAAAAACACTTGGCATTGAGCAAGCTACTGTTGAGGTGGCAGGGAATGACAAAACATCATTGCCCATGGAGCCGTTGGCTAGGGGGATGGCTGTGGGGAAGGATGTGAAGGCCAAGGAAAAGTACTGAGCAGAGAAGGGGAAAAAGGGGTCTGGAGATCCCATGTTCCTCAGACCTTTCACTTGTAAACACCTTTCACTATCCACAGTGCTGGAAGGCCTGCCCCTGAGTCAGGGGTGGCGGTTTTGCATTAAAAGAGGCGGGGCTGCAGAACTTCTCTGCCTGGGAGCAGGCTTGGGAGGGAGGGCGGGCCTCAGGATCTGAGGAACCCCCTGGAGGAACTCCAGGGGAGGGAAATCTGTCAGCCTGTTAACCCTGTGCAGAGGGAATTTACTGGGAGGAAAAAAGCCAGCGCACGCTGCTCAGAGTTTCACAACTTTGTTTTTATACTGATTCCCATAATCGAATCTGCAGGGAAAGTCCCATAAAAATGATTCTGTTTTTTTTTTTTTTTTTTTTGGGGGGGGATGGGGATTGGGGAGCAAGTCCTAGAGAAAAGCCATATCAAACCACATTTTATAAGGTTTCTTCCCCAAGGTGGGGTACCCTGCCTCAGCTTGGAGGCTGGGGCCGGCGCTCCAGGTGCGCCTGGAGTTGGGCCTAAGCCAGGGGAGGCTGCAGTCAGACTCAGTCCCTATTTATTAAAGGGGAAAGTTCCATTGAGGCCAGAAATCATGGCCAAAGCTGAGATCCTCAGGAGTGTTTTGGAAAAAAGGCCTTGGGCTTGAGGTAGAGCACTTACCTAGCACGGATGAAGCCCTAGGTCCATCCCCAGCATTGCAACCAAAAACACAACAATGGGCATGGTGGTTCTGAACATCTGTAATCCCAGCTACTCTGGAGGCTGAGACAGGAAATCTCAAGTTCAAGAACAGCCTGGACAATTTAGGGAGACCCTGTCACAAAATTGAAAGAGGGTGCGGCTGGGGCTGGGGCTCAGCAGTTAACGCACTTGCCTGGCATGTGTGAGGCACTAGGTTTGATTCCCAGCACCGCATATAAATAAATAAATGTCTATCAACAACTAAAAAAAAAAATTAAAAGAGGGTGGGTGCTGGGGAGGTGGCTCAGTGGCAGAGTGCTTACCTAGCATGCCCAAGGCCCTGGGTTCCACCCCTAGCATTGTCCCTTTCTCAACCTTGAAAGGGGTCTGAGTCCATCCAGATAACCTCCCACTCCTGTGTGAAGGTCAGGGAGGCAAACTTTAGCAGGAACTAGGGGCACACAGCAGGCAGAATCTGAGTCTCCTTCTCAAATGCCATTGCTTGGGTGACTGAGGCAGGCCAGGAGCACAGGGCAGGCATGGTGGCCCTCCTGCCAGGGCAGGACAGAATAAGCAGCCAGATGCGAGCACAGAGCCAGGCTTCCTGCTTTGTCACAGTGTGACCAATTCCTGAACTTAGCAAGCCCGCACCTGTCTTGACTGGCACGACAGAGACACCAGGCTTTGTTTTTCTCTTCAAGAACAAGAGAGGGTGGCCAAGGCAGCCCGCCCCCTGCTTTGCCACGATCTCTAGCACTGGGAACACAGGGGTCCCTTCCATGGCTCTGTGAGAGAAGTCAGTGTGGCTTGGGGCAGCCCCCTGAGGGTGGCTAGGCCTGTCCATGCTCCAGGGCTTGTCTGGAGCTGGCCCTGACTGGCTCAGGAACCCAGCTCCTCCCACAGGGGCATGAGTACAGGCTGGGAAGCCCCAACGGGAAAATGGGACCCAGGAAACCTCAGCCAACGCCGTGGGGAGAGACAGAGTCTGGAGAAGCCAGGAACAGGACTAATGGACGTGCCTAGACCCAGTGATGACTGGACGAGGTGGACCGTCCTGCCCATGAGGCCAGGCTTCCTTCCTGGGCTTCTCCCTGGAGCCTGGGGGGGATCCTCTCAGAGGTTTAGTGCACAGGCCTCATTCGGCCTCTCCTGCCTCCAAGCAGGCCCTGCCCTCCCCCTGGGGAAGGAGGCCCAATGAGTGATGGCTCACAGCCACCAGGCTCGTCACCCAGCAGGGGAAGGGTGACGTCTCTGTTCTGCTCCAGCTGGTCTGAGAGTCTCCCAGGTCAAGCAGGGTTCTTCTCTTGCACTTTTGTCTTAATACAAGAGGGAAACAGGGTGGACATTTCCCAGGAACTTCATCTTGCAGGAAAGTCCCCTCTAGCTGACGCCAAGGGAGCAGGCTGTGGCCCGTTACTTGCACAGAGCAGGGTGGGTGGGTGGGTGGAGCTCCCAGGAGGACTCCTGCTCTAGCCCCGGCAGCATGGTTTCTCCCACCTCAGTTCAAGACCGAGTCTTACCCTGGGCAGGTCTTCAAACCCAGCCTGTTCCCTAGAGGGTGCCAGGACAGGAGGCCTCTGGGAGCAGGTTCCACCAGGCGTTGGTGTAGCTGCTGAGGACAGGGGGGAGCCCTAAAGCTGA